GGGGGTCACAAGGTGAGGGGGTTAAATGTGGGCTGGAGGTGCATAGGAGGGGTGAGGGTTGGGTGGGGTTTGGGGGTGAGTGGAAGAGGGGTGCAGTGGAAGCTGGGATGGAGTAGATGGAATTGAAGTCAATGGGGTAGAAGGGGCAGGGGAGTGGGAAGGGGTATTTGGGGAGGGGGGATGGGAATAGAAATAGAAATGTGTGTGTGTGTGTGTGTGTGTGTGTGTGTGTGTGTGTGTGTGTGTGTGTGTGTGTGTGTGTGTGTGTGTGTGTGTGTGTGTGTGTGTGTGTGTGTGTGTGTGTGTGTGTGTGTGTGTGTGTGTGTGTGTGTGTGTACTCACCTAGTTGTGTTTGCGGGGGTTGAGTCTGGCTCTTTGGTCCCGCCTCTCAACCGTCAATCAACAGGTGTACCTCTGTGTGTCAATGTGTGTGTGTGTGTGTGTGTGTGTGTGTGTGTGTGTGTGTGTGTGTGTGTGTGTGTGTGTGTGTGTGTGTGTGTGTGTGTGTGTGTGTGTGTGTGTGTGTGTGTGTGTGTGTGTGTGTGTGTGTGTACTCACCTATATGTACTCACCTATATGTGCTTGCAGGATCGAGCATTGACTCTTGGATCCCGCCTTTCTAGCTATCGGTTGTTTACAGCAATGACTCCTGTCCCATTTCCCTATCATACCTAGTTTTAAAAGTATGAATAGTATTTGCTTCCACAACCTGTTCCCCAAGTGCATTCCATTTTTCTACTACTCTCACGCTAAAAGAAAACTTCCTAACATCTCTGTGACTCATCTGAGTTTCCAGTTTCCACCCATGTCCCCTCGTTCTGTTATTATTACGTGTGAACATTTGATCTATTTCCACTTTGTCAATTCCCCTGAGTATTTTATATGTCCCTATCATATCTCATCTCTCCCTTCTTTTCTCTAGTGTCGTAAGGTTCAGTTCCTTCAGCCGCTCTTCATATCCCATCCCTCGTAGCTCTGGGACAAGCCTCGTCGCAAACCTCTGAACCTTCTCCAGTTTCTTTATGTGTTTCTTCAGGTGGGGGCTCCATGATGGCGCGGCATACTCTAAGACGGGTCTCACGTAGGCAGTGTAAAGCGCCCTAAAAGCTTCCTCATTTAGGTTTCTGAATGAAGTTCTAATTTTCGCCAGTGTAGAGTACGCTGCTGTCGTTATCCTATTTATATGTGCCTCAGGAGTTAGATTAGGTGTCACATCCACTCCCAGGTCTCTTTCTCGAATCGTTACAGGTAGGCTGTTCCCCTTCATTGTGTACTGTCCCTTTGGTCTCCTGTCACCTGATCCCATTTCCATAACTTTACATTTACTGGTGTTAAACTCCAGTAGCCATTTCTCTGACCATCTCTGCAGCCTGTTTAAGTCCTCTTGGAGGATCCTACAATCCTCGTCTGTCACAACTCTTCTCATTAATTTTGCGTCATCTGCAAACATTGACATGTATGACTCCACTCCTGTAAACATATCATTTACGTAAATTAGAAAGAGGATTGGTCCCAGCACCGATCCTTGAGGTACTCCACTTGTTACTGTTCGCCAGTCCGACTTTTCGCCCCTTACCATTACCCTCTGGCTCCTTCCTGTTAGGTAGTTCTTCACCCATACTAGGGCCTTTCCGCTTACTCCTGCCTGCCTCTCAAGTTTGTATAGCAGTCTCATGTGCGGTACCGTATCAAAGGCCTTTTGGCAGTCAAGAAATATGCTGTCTGCCCAGCCTTCTCTGTCCTGCCTTATCCTTGTTACTTTATCATAGAATTCTAAAAGGTTTGTTAGGCATGATTTCCCTGTCCAGAACCCATGTTGGTGCTTGTTTACAAACCCAATGCTCTCCAGGTGCTCAACAAGTCTTAGCCTAATTATTCTTTCAAGTATTTTGCAGGGGATGCTTGTCAGTGATACGGGTCTGTAGTTAAGTGCCTCCTCCCTATCCCCCTTTTTGAAAATCGGTACGACATTTGCCTCCTTCCAGCAACTGGGCAATTCTCCCGACATAAGTGACTCATTGAAGATCATTGCCAGAGGCACGCTGAGAGCCTGCGCTGCCTCTTTAAGTATCCACGGTGATACTTTGTCTGGTCCAACAGCTTTATTTGCATCCAGTGTTGTCAACTGTTTCATTACATCCTCTGCTGTCACCTCTATATCTGATAGTCTTTCATCTTGGGTAATCTCTTCTAACAATGGGAGCTGCTCAGGCTCGGTAGTGAACACTCCATGGAATTTTGCATTCAGTACCTCGCAGATTTCCTTGTCGCTTTCTGTATATGCCCCTTCTGTTTTCCTCAGTCTTGTCACTTGGTCATTTACCGACATCTTCCTTCTTATATGGCTATGTAGTAATTTTGGTTGCTTTTTCGCTTTGACTGCAATATCGTTCTCATAATTTCTTTCCGACACTCGCCTTATGTTAATGTAATCATTCCTAGCTCTGTTACATCTAATCCTGTTGTCCTCTGTCCTTTGTCTTCTGTACTTCCTCCACTCCCTCCTGCTTCTCACCTTTGCTTCCTGACACTGTCTATTAAACCATGGGTTATTATATTCCCTCCTGCTTTTTTTCTTTATTGTTGGAATAAATCTATCTTCAGCCTCCTTGCATTTCAATATGACTTGGTTCATCATACCTTGCACTGTTTTTCCTCTAAGTTCTTCCTCCCACTGCACTTCTCCCAGGTAGTCCCTTATCCTTCTGTAGTCCCCTTTTCTGTAATCAAGTCTCCTTTCCCGGACCTCTTGTCCTTTCGTCACAATTTTAAGCTCCATCATGTAGTCAAAGGCTAGGACACAATGGTCACTAGCTTCTAGTGGTATTTCATGTTCCAACTGCTCGATGTCTTCTACATTCTGAGTGATAATGAGATCTAATAGGCTGGGCGTATCCCCTCCTCTTTCCCTAGTATCTTCTTTCACATGCTGTGTTAGGAAATTCCTGTCAATAACGTCTACCAGCTTCGCTCCCCAGGTCTCCTCCCCGCCATGGGGATTCCTCGTTTCCCAATCTATCTCTCCGTGATTTAGGTCCCCCATGACCAGCAGCTTCGCTCTCATTCTATGCGCTAAAGTTGCTGCCCTCTGCAGTTCATCCATACATGTCTTGTTGCTGTCCTCGTACTCCTGCCTGGGCCTTCTACTGTTTGGTGGGGGATTGTAGAGTATCAAGATTACAATCTTCTTCCCATCCACTGTCAGAGTTCCATGTATGAAGCTTGTGCTTTCATTGGTACCCGGATTTTCCAGCTCATCAAACTTCCATTTCCGCTTTATTAGTAGTGCCACTCCTCCTCCCTGTCTCTGTGTCCTTTCTTTTCTTATCACCTGGTACCCCTCTGGAAAGATTGCATCCGAGATCATGCCATTTATTTTAGTTTCCACTATTGCCACTATGTCTGGGTCTGCCTCACTAACTCTTTCTTTTATCTCTTCTGCTTTATTGGCTACCCCATCAGCATTGGTGTACCAAACCTTGAGACTCTTCTTGGAAACTCGGGTGTCAGAGTTCCCCCTTTCACCAGGGGTCTGGGGGGAACTGGGGGGTGTCTGGGGGGCAAGTGGGGGCTGTGGGGGTGAGTGGGGGGATGCTAGGGGGGTGCCTGGGAGTGCCTGGTAGGCGAATGGGGTCTGGGCATCTAGGGGGGTAGGAAGGGCATAATGGGTCTGAAAGTTAGGGGTCTGAATAGCATAGGGGGGTTGAGAAATAGAGTGGGACTGAGAGTCAGATAGAGGTTGAGAGGTTGGGGGGAAGAGGGATACTGAGGGCGGAGAGCTGAGATGAGAATGGAGCATGGGTGCTGGGAGTGGAAGAGAGGGTATATTAGTTAGGGGGGAATCGGGGGTAGGTGGGGGTTTTGGGGTAGAAGAGGGGAAGAGGGAGATGGGGGAAGGTGTTAGGGGGTCACAAGGTGAGGGGGTTAAATGTGGGCTGGAGGTGCATAGGAGGGGTGAGGGTTGGGTGGGGTTTGGGGGTGAGTGGAAGAGGGGTGCAGTGGAAGCTGGGATGGAGTAGATGGAATTGAAGTCAATGGGGTAGAAGGGGCAGGGGAGTGGGAAGGGGTATTTGGGGAGGGGGGATGGGAATAGAAATAGAAATGTGTGTGTGTGTGTGTGTGTGTGTGTGTGTGTGTGTGTGTGTGTGTGTGTGTGTGTGTGTGTGTGTGTGTGTGTGTGTGTGTACTCACCTAGTTGTACTCACCTAGTTGTGTTTGCGGGGGTTGAGCTCTGGCTCTTTGGTCCCGCCTCTCAACCGTCAATCAACAGGTGTACAGATTAGCTCATACCTCTCAGCTCGGGTACTAGTCTGGTGGCAAACCTTTGAACCTTTTCCAGTTTAGTCTTACCCTTGACTAGATATGGACTCCATGCTGGGGCTGCATACTCCAGGATTGGCCTGACATATGTGGTATACAAAGTTCTGAATGATTCTTTACACAAGTTTCTGAATGCCGTTCGTATGTTGGCCTGCCTGGCATATGCCGCTGATGTTATCCTCTTGATATGTGCTGCAGGAGACAGGTTTGGCGTGATATCAACCCCCAAGTCTTTTTCTTTCTCTGACTCCTGAAGAATTTCCTCTCCCAGATGATACCTTGTATCTGGCCTCCTGCTCCCTACACCTATCTTCATTACATTACATTTGGTTGGGTTAAACTCTAACAACCATTTGTTCGACCATTCCTTCAGCTTGTCTAGGTCTTCTTGAAGCCTCAAACAGTCCTCTTCTGTTTTAATCCTTCTCATAATTTTGGCATCGTCCGCAAACATTGAGAGAAATGAATCGATACCCTCCGGGAGATCATTTACATATATCAGAAACAAGATAGGAATCAGCTGCTATGACAGCTGATCCTCTGCTCTGTGTCAGGTGTTCAGCTGTTGCTCAGAACTCTACTCGTTGGTATTAATAGCACTGTTCCCTGAGAAGTTGTGGAGAGTATATATATATATTATTATAATAGAGTTGTAACTTGCAGTAATTACTTTTCCACAGATGAAGGGGAAGGTTCAGAAGCCTCGCTGCCTCGCTAACTTCGCCTCCAAGGCTGAGTTTGTCGACACACTCCAGCTTCACGCCACACAGGTACGACCACCACACTCCTCGATCATTAGGCAGGTACGACCACCACACCTTCGATCATTAGTCAGATACGACCACCACACCCCTCGATCATTAGTCAGGTACGACCACCACACCCTCGATCATTAGGCAGGTACGACCACCACACCCCTCGATCATTAGTCAGGTACGACCACCACACTCCTCGATCATTAGGCAGGTACGACCACCACACCCTCGATCATTAGTCAGGTACGACCACCACACCCCTCGATCATTAGTCAGGTACGACCACCACACTCCTCGATCATTAGGCAGGTACGACCACCACACCCTCGATCATTAGTCAGGTACGACCACCACACCCCTCGATCATTAGTCAGGTACGACCACCACACCCTCGATCATTAGGCAGGTACGACCACCACACCCCTCGATCATTAGTCAGGTACGACCACCACACTCCTCGATCATTAGGCAGGTACGACCACCACACCCTCGATCATTAGTCAGGTACGACCACCACACCCTCGATCATTAGGCAGGTACGACCACCACACCCCTCGATCATTAGTCAGGTACGACCACCACACTCCTCGATCATTAGGCAGGTACGACCACCACACCCTCGATCATTAGTCAGGTACGACCACCACACCCCTCGATCATTAGTCAGGTACGACCACCACACTCCTCTATCATTAGGCAGGTACGACCACCACACCCTCGATCATTAGTCAGGTACGACCACCACACCCCTCGATCATTAGTCAGGTACGACCACCACACCCTCGATCATTAGGCAGGTACGACCACCACACCCCTCGATCATTAGTCAGGTACGACCACCACACTCCTCGATCATTAGGCAGGTACGACCACCACACCCTCGATCATTAGTCAGGTACGACCACCACACCCCTCGATCATTAGGCAGGTACGACCACCACACTCCTCGATCATTAGTCAGGTACGACCACCACACTCCGCGATCATTAGTCAGGTACGACCACCACACCCCTCGATCATTAGTCAGGTACGACCACCACACTCCTCGATCATTAGTCAGGTACAACCACCACACTCCTCGATCATTAGTCAGGTACGACCACCACACTCCTCGATCATTAGTCAGGTACGACCACCACACCCCTCGTAGATTTGGCAGGTACGACCACCACACCCTCGATCATTAGTCAGGTACGACCACCACACCCTCGATCATTAGTCAGGTACGACCACCACACTCCTCGATCATTAGTCAGGTACGACCACCACACCCCTCGAAGATTTGGCAGGTACGACCATCACACCCTCGATCATTAGTCAGGTACGACCACCACACCCTCGATCATTAGTCAGGTACAACCACCACACTCCTCGATCATTAGTCAGGTACGACCACCACACTCCTCGATCATTAGTCAGGTACGACCACCACACCCCTCGAAGATTTGGCAGGTACGACCACCACACCCTCGATCATTAGTCAGGTACGACCACCACACCCCTCGATCATTAGGCAGGTACGACCACCACACTCCTCGATCATTACTCACGGACGACCACCACACTCCTCGATGATTAGGCAGGTACGACCACCACACTCCTCGATCATTAGGCAGGTACGACCACCACCCCCTCGATCATTAGGCAGGTACGACCACCACACTCCTCGATTATTAGGCAGGTACGACCACCATACCCCTCGATCATTAGTCAGGTACGACCACCACACCCCTCGATCATTAGCCAGGTACGACCACCACACCCCTCGATCATTAGCCAGGTACGACCACCATACCCCTCGATCATTAGTCAGGTACGACCACCACACCCCTCGATCATTAGCCAGGTACGACCACCACACTCCTCGATCATTAGTCAGGTACGACCACCACACTCCTCGATCATTAGTCAGGTACGACCATCACACTCCTCGATCATTAGTCAGGTACGACCACCACACTCCTCGATCATTAGTCAGGTACGACCACCACACCCCTCGAAGATTTGGCAGGTACGACCACCACACCCTCGATCATTAGTCAGGTACGACCACCACACCCCTCGATCATTAGTCAGGTACGACCACCACACTCATCGATCATTAGTCAGGTACGACCACCACACCCCTCGATCATTAGTCAGGTACGACCACCACACCCCTCGATCATTAGTCAGGTACGACCACCACACTCGTCGATCATTAGTCAGGTACGACCACCACACCCCTCGATCATTAGTCAGGTACGACCACCACACTCCTCGATCATTAGTCAGGTACGACCACCACACCCCTCGATCATTAGTCAGGTACGACCACCACACTCCTCGATCATTAGTCAGGTACGACCACCACACTCCTCGATCATTAGGCAGGTACGACCACCACACCCCTCGATCATTAGTCAGGTACGACCACCACACTCCTCGATCATTAGTCAGGTACGACCACCACACCCCTCGATCATTAGTCAGGTACGACCACCACACTCCTCGATCATTAGTCAGGTACGACCACCACACTCCTCGATCATTAGGCAGGTACGACCACCACACTCCTCGATCATTAGTCAGGTACGACCACCACACCCCTCGATCATTAGTCAGGTACGACCACCACACTCCTCGATCATTAGTCAGGTACGACCACCACACCCCTCGATCATTAGTCAGGTACGACCACCACACTCCTCGATCATTAGTCAGGTACGACCACCACACTCCTCGATCATTAGTCAGGTACGACCACCACACTCCTCGATCATTAGTCAGGTACGACCACCACACCCCTCGATCATTAGTCAGGTACGACCACCACACTCCTCGATCATTAGTCAGGTACGACCACCACACTCCTCGATCATTAGTCAGGTACGACCACCACACTCCTCGATCATTAGTCAGGTACGACCACCACACTCCTCGATCATTAGTCAGGTACGACCACCACACTCCTCGATCATTAGTCAGGTACGACCACCACAGCCCACCACCACAGTAAACATATTTGTTGCAGAAATGATTACAATTTCTTGTGTGTGTTAACGAACACTCATGAAGAACTATATTCAATTAAGGTCAAAAATGTATTCATCAAAATCATCTTTCAATATATACAATGCATTGCAGAAGGGCGAGTGTGATGAGCAGGTGTGCAATGGGTCCCTGATGAATATCAGGAGGATGAGCAACAAGCCCAGACCACCGGCCGAGGTGATGACCCAAGCCAAAGAGTTCTTAGATCAATACTTCACCTCCCTAAAGAAGTAAGTCTTTATTTGTCTTGCATCTTAATTTAATCTTTCTTCATTCCAAAATAACTTATGTTAAACATATTTAGTTTTAATATCTTCATGTATCTTAAGCTATAAATATAGAGCTGTAAAATTTTTAAGTATCAATTTCTGTAACAGAATTGCGCAACTCATTTTACTATGAATGAATATATATGTTTAAAATATTAAAATGTTGAGTCATTACACGCAATATTCCCCTTTAATGAGAATTCAAGTTCAACAAAAAAAGAATTACATAATTTTGGCTACAATAAATTATTTATTGTGCACCCCATAAATAAATTATTTTCACAGTAATTATTGATTATAATTTAATGTGCATGGGGTGCACAATAAACCAGCTATGGCAGCAACAATCAATCAAACTTAGAATGCTGGAAGTTTATTCTGGTACTTAAGAGTCCACGTTTCGAACAAGGACCTCACTCACACTAACCCACACGCCTCCTCGTACTACATCCCACGACTGTAGCCTCAGCCGCCATTAATCAACCACAAACCATCAACGTTCACCACTCCCAAACACGCACAGTACACACCCACCCAAGGCTCCCGGTGCGGTGTTCCCACCTGCCTGACCCAGTAACATCTGTGCCAGACACGAGACACGTAACATCTGTAACATCTGTGCACAGGTTCGAGAGCGAGGAGCACCAGAGTCGGTGGAGGGAGGTGGAGGCGAGCGTGCGCGCGCGCGGCACCTACCGCCTCAACACACAAGAGATGGAGTATGGCACCAAGCTGGCCTGGAGGAACGCCCCCAGGTGTATTGGCAGGATTAACTGGACCAGACTTGAGGTATTTCAGAGAGAGAAGAGAGAGAGAGAGAGAGAGAGGAGAGAGAGAGAGAGAGAGAGAGAGAGAGAGAGAGAGAGAGAGAGAGAGAGAGAGAGAGAGAGAGAGAGAGAGAGAGGCAGAGAGAGAGAGAGAGGCAGAGAGAGAGAGAGGCAGAGAGAGAGAGAGGCAGAGAGAGAGAGACAGGCAGAGAGAGAGAGACAGACAGAGAGACAGAAAGAGAGAGAGAGAGACCCCCTTTCTGTCACATATTATCGCATGAGTTAGAAAGGGTAAGATCAATGAATATAGCACGAATCCTGTCTATTGTTCTTATATTCTATTTTTTCCACTTGAGAAGTTGAAAAGTAACTCTCCAAAGTTAATTGTTACGATTTTATTGGGCCTGACGCTATGAGCTTCCTTAAGTTTTGTTAACATAGTCATCCTGTTTGAATGTCTACAATTTGATTGATTGATAAAGATTAAGCCACCCAAAAGGTTGCACGGGCATAAATAGCCCATAAGTGAAGGATCTTTGGAGCCATTACCAATATCTGATACTGGAGATCTATAAATGTATGGAGGAATTTTTTGTGGGGTTGGGGAAGGGTCTGTGACGGAGAGCAAACAATACCGATTATAGAGCTGGTGAGTTAGTGAAGGTCTCTAGGTCTTCCGGGTTTTCCTGGTCTGAGTCTTGCTGCGAGTTAACATGGCTGTGTTGTCATTGGAGTTGGGTGATGTGGCCTCCATGAGGAGATCTTGTATAGAGTAAGGCAAGTGGCTCAGCGATGGAGCTCTTAATGAGATTTCTTGGTCTGAAGAGTCCGTGGTGTAGTTCGTTGTTGGTGGTTTTGGTCTCACAGCCTGAGGTTGAGGTTGGCTCTGGAGTCGATGAGTTGTGGTAGAAGCTGGTTCAGTCACGTTGGTGATGTTGTTGGTGGTCAGAGAGAGCACGTCTACGAGCGCCTCTGCTGAAACGGTGATGGTGGTAGCTTTTGGGGCTGGATTGCAGGATGCTGCTGTTTGTGCAGCCTGGGTCTTTAGTAGAGCTGAAGTCTGAGTTGAGATCGACCTAGTGGTTGAACTTGATGAAGTCTCCTGTGTGGTAGGGCCCATGTTCGGGTTTTCATATTCAATATTCGTTATGATCTCACTTTTGTGTGCCGTCAGTTATCCATGGGCTGGTCCTGTTGATAAAAATTGATCTTTCGGCTAGGAACTGACGTGTGTAGTTGAGATAGTGGTGGTGCTCCTTGCAAGGTGAGAAATCGTATCCCAAGAGGTTTTCTAGGTCCTCCGTATTTGTGAAGAAGAGTGCGATATCCTCACCTTCCTGACTAAAGTCATTGCGTGTGATCCCGGCCCCGTCCTTGAAGATATGCAGAATGTCGCTTTTTTTCCAAACCCTTGACCGTTTAGGGGGTTAGCCTTAACTTTTTCACGTTTGGGTCGCATTGTGTCCTCTCTGCGACTCTACGGGTCGCAGTGGCAATGGATGTTTTGTTTGAAGGTTTCAGGCTCTCTGATGTGATTACAAAGTTTCTTGCTGCATGATATATATCCAAGGATGAGGTGAAGGTGAAGCATCTCACTTTTAGGTCCATTGTATCCTGTCAAACTCCTGTTGTCATGATGGCTGGTACAGTATGTCGTGTTTTGAATGTTCGTAGACTGTAATTTGGTGCTAGTTGGCTTGGTTTCGTTAATGTATAATAAGACAGCGATGAAACTTTGTAATCATTCGAACTTTGCCTTTGAAAATGTTAACAAGAGTTAACGAAACGCATTTCTTTGCGTCAGGCTAAAAAAAAATCGTTACAATTAACTTTGGAGAGTTAAATTTCAACTTCCTTCTCAAGTCGAAAAAAAGGAAGAAAAATAGATAAAAATCACGATGTGTATATATATATATATATATATATATATATATATATATATATATATATATATATATATATATATATATATATATATATATATATATATATGTCGTACCTAGTAGCCAGAACGCAATTCACAGTCTACTATGCAAGGCCCGATTTGCCTAATAAGCGAAGTTTTCATGAATTAATGTTTTTTCGAGTACCTAACCTACCTAACCTAACCTAACCTAACTTTTTCGGCTACCTAACCTAACCTATAAAGATAGGTTACGTTAGGTTAGGTAGGGTTGGTTGGGTTCGGTCATATATCTACGTTAATTTTAACTCAAATAAAAAAAAATTGACCTCATACATAATGAAATGGGTAGCTTTATCATTTCATAAGAAAAAAATTAGAGAAAATATATTAATTCAGGAAAACTTGGCTTATTAGGCAAATCGGGAATTGTATAGTAGGCTGAGAAGTGCGTTCTGGCTACTAGGTACGACATATATATATATATATATATATATATATATATATATATATATATATATATATATATATATATATATATATATATACGTATATATATATATATATATATATATATATATATATATATATATATATATATATATATATATATATATATATATTGTACCTAGTAGCCAGATCGCAGTACTCGGCCTTCTACGCAAGGTCCGATTTGCCTAATAAGCTAAGTTATCATGAATTTATAATTTTTTCAAGTTTTTTCTTATGAAATGATAAAGCTATCTTTTTCACTATGTATGAGTTCATTTTTTAAATTTGAGTTTAAACTACCATAGATATATGACCGAACCTAACCAACCCTACCTAACCTAATCTAACCTAACCTAACCTAACCTAACCTAACCTAACCTAACCTAACCTAACCTAGCATAACCTAACCTAACCTAACCTAACCTAACCTATCATAACCTAACCTAACCTATCATAACCTAACCTATCATAACCTAACCTATCATAATCTAACCTAACCTAACCTAATCTAACCTAGCCTAACCTAACCTATCATAACCTAACCTATCATAACCTAACCTATCATAATCTAACCTAACCAAACCTAATCTAACCTAGCCTAACCTAACCAAACCTAATCTAACCTAGCCTAACCTAACCTAACCTAACCTAACCTAACCTAACCTAACCTAACCTAACCTAACCTAACCTACCTAGCCTAACCTAACCTAACCTAACCTAACCTAACCTAATCTAACCTAGCCTAACCTAACCTAAACTAACACAACTAAGTCAATAATTTATGTTCCTAATATAATATAATAATAATAATTCAAATAAACCAATTGGAAACATTTTATTGAAAATATAGAAAAACACTCGGCCTATTAGACAAATCTGACCTTGCATAGTAGGCCAAGAAGTGCGTTCTGGCTCTAGGTACGACATATATATGTCGTACCTAGTCGACATATGTCGAAACTGGCGGCTCTAGGGTCTCTAGTTGTTTCAATTAGTTTGGACCCCAGTTCCTTCAAAAAACTTGCAGCACTTTTACCCCAGGCACCAAGTGTCTCTGAGGCAATGGGGACAAAATTGTAGTGGTGATCAAGGTCTCCAAGTTTACGTGACTTATATATATGTTTATATATATATGATTATATATATATGATTATATATATATATATATATATATATATATATATTATATATATATTTATATATATATATATATATATATATATATATATATATATATATATATATATATATATATATTATATAAACATACATACATGTTGATTATTTAAAACTTTCATTACTTTTCGAAAAACACAATTTTTCACCGCCAGAATAATATACAGTGCTAAAAATCTATGTTTAATATACATAACTATTTAAATATAAAACCATATATTACAAAATGATATAATTTTAAAGTGTAAAACAGAAAGCAAACTCTATTCCCGTTAAGTGGTCAAAAAAAAAATGACAAACCAGATATTAGGTAACAAGTACCTATCATCAGTAAATACAAAAGACATTAATACCGGGAAGTCATACCAAGTGTTAATAATAATAATAATAATTAATAATAATAATAATAATTTTTATTTAGGCAAAGGTACATACATAAAGAGATTTTACAAAGTTTGTTGGCTTTATAGATAAGAGCTAGTACATACAATGCCTAAAGCCACTATTACGCAAAGCGTTTCGGGCAGAAGCGTTTCGAAGCGTTTTGTTATTGGATCTATGAACGTATTCTCCTATCCTACAGGTGTTTGACGCCCGTGATGTTACAACCCCTCAAGAAATGTTTGATGCTCTCTGCACACATATTAAATATGCTTCAAACGATGGAAACATCAGGTTAGTCTCAGACTGTGCTGATGATGCTCTTCGTCTCAAACTCTTCATGCTTCATTTTATACCATGTTCCTTCCCCCTAACTCTTGACGCTTCGAGAGAGGGAGAGAGAGAGAGAGAGAGAGAGAGAGAGAGAGAGAGAGAGAGAGAGAGAGAGAGAGAGAGAGAGAGAGGGAGGGAGAGAGAAGGGAGGGAGAGAGAGAGAGGGAGAGAGAGAGAGAGAGAGTGAGAGAGAGAGAGAGAGAGAGAGAGAGAGAGAGAGAGAGAGAGAGAGAGGGAGAGAGAGAGAGAGAGAGAGAGAGAGAGAGAGAGAGAGAGAGAGAGAGAGAGAGAGAGAGAGAGAGAGAGAGAGAGAGAGAGAGAGAGAGAGAGAGAGAGAGAGAGAGAGAGAGAGAGAGAGAGAGAGAGAGAGAGAGGGAGGACACGCTGACAGAGACGCTGTTTCGCAATATATGTTGATATAATTATCCAGCACAGCCTTTCATTCTCGGTTATTTTAATGTGCAAAATGGCAGATATGACGTAGGATGTATATATATATATTACTCTCCTAACCCTGGTAATAACTCGTTCATATACTGTCCTGCATCACTGCTCTTATCTTCACCTCTAGACCAGGCTCTCTACTTTGTTAAGAGTACAAATTCCAAATCTTGGAAAACAGGATTTCATCCTCCTCTTTTGTGGGAACCGACCTGTGAGATTTATATTTATTTAATTTATATGAATTTATATAGAATTTATATTTACGTTAATTTATATACTTCGATAGCAATTTGTATAATGATAAGTGGACTGTATTTCTGCAATAATCTCATAATCTCACAAATCGATCCTCTACACATTAGGGGGGTGGTTTATATTAATTAAATATATATGCAGCCAATCAAACTACAGTATTAACTACATACATTGAAAAGGTTCCTTATCTTATAGTACAGCAGGTTAGTCCACCAGGTATAACTAGGGTGTAGACACCAAATTATCCTCTTTGAGGTAGCTTCCATCACCCAGGTAACTGATGTACAAAGCCTTGCTTCCTCGTCTTGACCTGTCAAAAGGGGGCTAGCTGTAAAGCCAGAATCCTATATATGACAAGTATATCAGAGAAAACTGTACATGGAACAATGAAGACCTGGCTTAATTACCTTTAGTTTGAGGCTACCACGTGCTCTAACCGGATCACCCTATATAATGACATTAATGGCCATAAATGAAAGATACATGGGTTTCGGAAAGAACACTTAACTTGAATTTGTTGACAGCGTGTAATAATGGTACACCTTTGGTTTCCATAACACTTCGTCCAAGTAAAAATAACAGGAGCCGTATTTGCTCCCGTGCCTCTGGTCTCAGTATCAACAATGGCTGCCCTCCTTCCTCCCTGACGCCTGGCTTACATTGTCCACATGACAGAAAGTGATAGAAGGGTCACATTTACTCTACTTTAATATTGATAATTAAGTTAATTTATATAAGATGTTTTTATGATGGTAAAGTCCAAAGACTAATGTATTTAAGAATAATTCCCACCATAATAGGTGGTGATTTATAATAGTATGTGGTGATGATATCCCGTTTTCTATAGACGGTAATTCCACTACAAGTTACGTTTTCTATGGGTAACTTGTTGGTAATACAGCAGCAATTATTATCTGTATGATTATTAAATGGTGTCGGATTTTCCGACATCTTTGCTTTCTTGCTTACAGTCGTTTTACAATCTTCCCCTTCTCCTTGGCCCACCAGATCTCCAGCTTCAACTTAATGCCACTTATTCTAGTAACTTCTAAAAACCATTATACATACTAAGGCGCGCTCCATCTCTTGTGCAAAAGTAATGCTTCCCACTGTATTTGGCCAGCTGGGAATTATGTTGCATTTCTTTGCCATATTTGTTCAGCTTGTAGTTACTAAGAATTGCTAAGGTATGTTTGGGACAGGAAGCGTATTGGGCTTACGGAAGTGCCCCCTAGCCACAGGCTGCCCCTGTGGTCAACCTGCCTATTACTTACCAGACCCTGTGACACGCCTAGTGACATGCACTTCATCCACTGCGCCTCGCAGTTGACTGCAGTTCTCATGTTGTTATAACTAACGCATGACGTACTCCCCGGCAGGTCGGCCATCACAGTGTTCCCGGAGCGACGACCCGGCCGGCGGGACTTTCGCGTCTGGAACCAACAGCTCATCAGTTACGCCGGCTACGCCAACCCTGACGGCTCCGTCACTGGGGACCCCGCCTACGTCGCCTTCACTCAGGTAACCATACTTGTGGGCATCATTCACAATACTGTCACTGGTGTATTGCAGGATCGTGTCCACCAGCTGGAGGCATGATCTTTGGACAACGAGGAAGGAGAGGTGTGACAGGATATAGCTGTCTTAGCCACAGAACATTATCCACCTCAGTTAGTGATTGGATCCACCAAGATCCGTTGTGACTATTTGGTTTAGTTGTTTGTGGTGTGTCTGTGTGTGTGTGTGTGTGTGTGTGTGTGTGTGTGTGTGTGTGTGTGTGTGTGTGTGTGTGTGTGTGTGTGTGCGTGTGTGTGTGTGTGTGTGTGTGTGTGTGTGTGTGTGTGTGGTGTGTGTGTGTGTGTGTGTGTGTGTGTGTGTGTGTGTGTGTGTGTGTGTGTGTGTGTGTGTGTGTGTGTGTGTGTGTGCGTCTGTGTGTGTGTGACTGACGTAGTGGCAGAAGGTGCGAAGTTTTGATTTCTTTATTGACTATTGCTGAGGGGTATCTGATCAACATCCGACCAGGACCATGGTGAATGAGGAGTACGGAGCCAAGTGTATTAGTGAATGAGACGCCACAATTAGAGGCTAAGAATAACTAGTGGGTATCAGGAGAACTGTCATGTTTTTGGTATGTTTATTATTCCGTGACTGTGCCGAGGATATAATATATTGTATTGTAAGATTGACTGATTTCTTATCATATCAGTTCTGGTGAACATTATCGTAACAGCTGTGGCAAGTTGTTAGAATGAGTAACCAAGAAATTCTTTAATTCTAAATTCTTAAATTTAAATTCTTTGAAATTCTTGTTATGATTTCTGAATATAATTATGCATACGAAGGCTTATATTTCTATAATTGATAATGATATATAAATATATACATTTCTAGAGCAGGTAACTATTCAGATATAGGGAAAGTGTTCACGTGTACAGACGTGAGCCAGGATAATCATCACAGGGAAAGTGTTCACGTGTACAGACGTGAGCCAGGATAATCATCACAGGGAAAGTGTTCACGTGTACAGACGTGAGCCAGGATAATCATCACAGGGAAAGTGTTCACGTGTTCACGTGAGCCAGGATAATCATCACAGGGAAAGTGTTCACGTGTACAGACGTGAGCCAGGATAATCATCACAGGGAAAGTGTTGATGTGTACAGACGTGAGCCAGGATAATCATCACAGGGAAAGTGTTGAGGTGTACAGACGTGAGCCAGGATAATCATCACAGGGAAAGTGTTCACGTGTACAGACGTGAGCCAGGATAATCATCACAGGGAAAGTGTTCACGTGTACAGACGTGAGCCAGGATAATCATCACAGGGAAAGTGTTCACGTGAGCCAGGATAATCATCACAGGGAAAGTGTTCACGTGTACAGACGTGAGCCAGGATAATCATCACAGGGAAAGTGTTCACGTGTACAGACGTGAGCCAGGATAATCATCACAGGGAAAGTGTTGATGTGTACAGACGTGAGCCAGGATAATCATCACAGGGAAAGTGTTGAGGTGTACAGACGTGAGCCAGGATAATCATCACAGGGAAAGTGTTCACGTGTACAGACGTGAGCCAGGATAATCATCACAGGGAAAGTGTTCACGTGAGCCAGGATAATCATCACAGGGAAAGTGTTGAGGTGTACAGACGTGAGCCAGGATAATCATCACAGGGAAAGTGTTCACGTGTACAGACGTGAGCCAGGATAATCATCACAGGGAAAGTGTTCACGTGAGCCAGGATAATCATCACAGGGAAAGTGTTGAGGTGTACAGACGTGAGCCAGGATAATCATCACAGGCTGTTGAGAGAAGACTGCACTGAGACACTCACGGGTTGACTCGACGGCTTCACCTCATATAACATTTGTGTAGCCTTTGTGTTTATTAAATGTCACTTCTGTTTTATGTTACCCTTCTTGCCTCTGTGAACTTACTAAAGAGAGCAGATACGTTTTACCTGTCCACTGTTACTGCAATGTTTGACACAGTGGGGGACACTGAAGGAAGGAGACCCAAGTGCATTCAAGAGAACACCAGCTGTGAACTCAGCGATGGATGTGAACTCATTTTTTTTTTTTTTTTTTTTTTTTGAGATATATACAAGAGTTGTTACATTCTTGTACAGCCACTAGTACGCGTAGCGTTTCGGGCAAGTCCTTAATCCTATGGTCCCTGGAATACGATCCCCTGCCGCGAAGAATCGTTATTTCTTGTAGACTCGTCTACAAGAGTCATCATGTAGACAGGTGTGCGGTGGGGCGAGTGCCCACTTAGGTGCCATGACCCTCGTCTCCTGGGACTTGAGACGCAGCCGGTGAAGGTCTTCTGCAGGTGTTGGAGACACCAGAGGTGGCAGCACTGGTGTTTGCTTGTTACTTCTTTATTATTACCACCAACGTAATACTTGTCTCATGTTTGTGGCAGATGTGTGAGGGTCTGGGGTGGAAGGGAGCTGGCGGGAGGTTCGACGTGCTCCCTCTGGTGCTCTCAGCCGCGACCGGCGAGGCTCAGTGTTTCCCCATCCCCGATGATCTGGTGCTTCGTGTCTCTATCCACCATCCCAGGTGAGTGACCTGGTGCTTCGTGTCTCTATCCACCATCCCAGGTGAGTGACCTGGTGCTCCGTGTCTCTATCCACCATCCCAGGTGAGTGACCTAGTGCTCCGTGTCTCTATCCACCATCCCAGGTGAGTGACCTGGTGCAAGTGAGTAGTGGAAGTAGGCACAATACCCGGCCATTTTGCTTTTACCTACGGCCGGGTATTGTGCCTTATTTTTTTCCGTTGGGATTGAAGGTCCGCCTCCCGTCATCCCTAAATGTGGTGGCCTTGGTACCCGCACATTGAGTGATTGTTGCTGCCGAAGGCGGCTAGTTTATTGTGCACCCCATACTCATCCTGTGAGTGGTAGCGCAAAAGCATTACAGAGGACACAAAAGGTCTTTATCAGACCTCATCTTAGATTATTACATAAACAATTTCATCTATCCTTCACACCTTATAGTTACAATGTCAGCTAGTTACAGAGAAAGTGCTATTTCAAGAGCTATATATTTACAGTAAGTCATCATACATTAATGGTAGGTCTTATCGCTAATACATAATAGTTTGACCAATGCGGATATTAAAGAGTCATAGGGAAGCTTCTGTTTATTATTAGTCCTCACAATACACTACTTGTTTCTGAGTCTCATATGTCGTTCATCTACTGGAAACAAAATGTGGATACAGTGCAAGGATTTCAGGTAATTTATCCATGGTAATAAGATAGGTTGCCATATCATACAGAGTGAGCTTAGATTTATCTCTAAAAGGCTCAATTTTGCTACAATCCAAGATATAGTGTTCGAGTGTGTGTCCCTGTCTTTGTCCACACACTTTACACTTTACTTCATCTAGATCCCTATACAAGCCGAATTGCCAGAGATACTTGTATCCAAGACTTATACGACCTGTGACAACATCTGTTAGTCTACTGACTTTGTTACTTGCCCCATACACATGTTTTACTTCACACATTTCATTGTGATGAACAATGGACCTGCTAGTTCCAGTTTGCACTGTTCTACTTTCCTCAAATTCATCCAGGAGTTCTCGTCTAATGACACTTTTCAGGGACCTATTTGATAACTCAAGATTCCGTTCAATACTGTCTTTATTTACTGCAGCCTTAGCAAAGGCGTCAACTTTGTCATGTTCCTGCATGCCAATGTGAGAAGGAATCCACAACATTTTTATATTTACCCTCTTGCTAAGTATTCTTATATATCTACGTCTAGCTTCCAAGACAAGCACGTTATTACTTGATTGCAAACTGTTTATTGCTCGTAGTGAGGATAGGGAGTCAGAAATAATTAAGCTGTCTACCTCAGTGTTGTCAATAATTTCGAGTGCTACCAGTATTGCTACCAACTCGGCTTGCATTGTGGACGCCCAGTTACTAATTCGGATATTCCTTTGAATTGTGCTGCCATCGGGCTGATGAGCAATAACAGCACTTCCTGCCCTCCCTGTAGCTGTATTGAGTGATCCGTCAGTGTATATGGTCTGTGCAATGTTGTTTTCAGCTTGTATATTGTGAATGTATTCTATGGTCTATGGTACTTAATTTAGCAGCAAGCTGAGCATGAGGGTTGTTTGTGATTAGTTTCTTGGTGGGGTATGCAGGGGTCAGGATGTCAAAAGGTACTATCTGCCAGGGTGGAAGGAAGTGCTGTACTCTTTCATCTGTATATACATCGTGCAGTCCCATCATTTTAATATGAGTGGCTGTTCTTTGAATCCATTTAGACTCGCTAGTTCCATTTCGTATGTGTTCTAACAGTGCAACTGACACAATGTTGTTTTTGTTATCACGCAGAAGCTTTAGTCCCATCATAAGATTGATTTCAAATATTCTATCTCGAATGCTAAGTATATTTAATTCTTTCCGCATGTTGAGGACTTTGGTAGTTATAGGACAGCCAAGTATAATTCTGAGTGCTTCATTTCACGGGTTCAGCCGGTCCTAATGTTCAAATGACATCATCAGCCAGCCTTCATCTTTATTCAACAAGTCCCGTTTTCTGTGATTGCAGTTTTAATCCCATTTTCATGTACATAATATTAAATCCCATTTTCATGTACATAATATTAAATCCCATTTTCATGTACATAATATTAAATCCCATTTTCATGTACATAATATTAAATCCCATTTTCATGTACATAATATTAAATCCCATTTTCAATTATTATTTCTTGTTAAAGAACGCATATATAACTTATGACTGAAATTGCAGGCCTTTTTTTGGGGGGGGGGGGGGGTGGACTTACAGAAGCACTCTTTATATTTTCCATTCCATGTTGGGGTGATCATTACCATAATTAAATCCCCTTTTTCATACCCATTGAAATAATGTTTCCCTTCAATCATGTCACCTATATAAACTGCAGAATATTTGATCACTTCCCTATTAATAGCCAGTTAATATCCATTATATCCACTTATATACATCTATCATATCACCTATACACAAACTGCAGAAGACCTTATTAATATCCAGTCTATACCCATTATATCCAGATAAACTCTTCAATCATGTCACTCCATCAATATGCAGAAAGCCCTATTAATATAATCCCTTATTAAGCCCATACATCTGCTGGTACACCATAGTTTTAGCCTATTTGTTCCAATTCTTTTCTTTAGTTATTAATGAAGACTATTTAGATTGTGAGAAAGATTGTTTGCGCCCTCAGCTTACTTAACTACCTGATATATAGTGTCCAGCCAAAGATCATTTACTGAGCATTGGAATGAATTAAATCCACTACCTCCCTTTTATATGAAACAACGGAGACAACGGAGGGTATGTGCTCATCTCACGCCCGTCAGCATTATATATGTCTCCATGCACAGGAATATTCACTGACTCACACTGCGACCCGTTGTGGGTGTGGACACACTGCGACCCGTTGTGGGTGTGGACACAATGCGACCCGTTGTGGGTGTGGACACAATGCGACCCGTTGTGGGTGTGGACACACTGCGACCCGTTGTGGGTGTGACACACTGCGACCCGTTGTGGGTGTGGACACAATGCGACCCGTTGTGGGTGTGGACACACTGCGACCCGTTGTGGGTGTGGACACACAATGCGACCCGTTGTGGGTGTGGACACAATGCGACCCGTTGTGGGTGTGGACACACTGCGACCCGTTGTGGGTGTGGACACACTGCGACCCGTTGTGGGTGTGGACACACTGCGACCCGTTGTGGGTGTGGACACACTGCGACCCGTTGTGGGTGTGGACACAATGCGACCCGTTGTGGGTGTGGACACAATGCGACCCTTTGTGGGTGTGGACACAATGCGACCCAAACATCTAAAGGTTAGAGCTACCCCTCCTTGACGGTCTTGCTTTCGGGATAAGCAATATTCTAAAGGAACTGAAGGACGTTACCGGCATCACACCCACTGTCATTAGTCAGGAAGGTGACAATATCGAGGACGAAAATCCGAACCTGGATGTAGTCAACCTAGAAATCTGCAGCACCTACAAATCATCAATGAAAATTACTTTCACCACCATAGCTGCAGCCACCTAGGCGGCCACACAAGGTTTCTACTGCTTAGACTTACAAATACAACCCCACCAAGGAAAAAAAAAGGAACGATACCATGAGATCCAGCAGTGCTTTAAGTGCTACGAGCTCTCCCACCCGACCAACAAGTGTCAGCACCCTGTCCAGAAGTGCAGCCTGTGCGCACTGGACCATCACAACTGCATATGTAAGGCAATAACCCATCGCTGCTTGCTCTGTGATGACACTCACACCGCAATTTTCTACCGCTGCCCCTGGAGACTGGAAAGCATCAAGGCCCAGGTTGAAGCCAAGGGCAACAACCCTTCTACCTCCTCGACCAGAGCCCCAGGCACTCAACCCACCACCTTAGCACTCACTAATCAACCAGAAGACTTTCCAGTCTTACCAAAAAGTGGCTCCTCCCACCAGGCGACCCAGCCTTCACAATATGCCCCAATGCTCCTTCACAGCCCCTTGCATCACATGCAGGCATTATCTCTGGTCTTATTAGACTAGCTGAGAGGCTTGCCGGACCAGACAACCACCATTTTGTCAGTGAACTGAACGCATTATACATATCCAATGACCTGGACCCCATCATAGCCCCTGGCGCAAGTCTCACTGACTCCACTACCTCTCCGGAGACTACCACCAGGACAACCACGAGGTCGATTTCAACACAGACTCCAGAACCACCCAAGACCTGGGCGGCACAAACAGAGGTATTTCCCTCTCCAGCTCCCAACGCTCCTACCATCACCATCTCAGCAGCCGCGCTAGCAGACGTGCTGTCTACAAATGTTAACATCACCACCAATGCCCCTGAAATACCGTCTATCACCAATACACGACACCTGAGCCTACCTAAGGCGAAAGACGAAAACACCCACTACGGATGTTACGGACTCCCCAAACGAGGAAATCTTAGTAGGAGCTCCACCGCCGCACCACAAATACGACACCTACTCGATACAAGACCTCCTCGTGGAGGTCACCTCCCCAAACTCCGACGACAGCACGGCTCACCCAAAGTCTCAGGCAATGAAAAAACGGAAGACCTAGAGGTCTACATTAACCCACCAGCTCCATGACTGGTACAGCCAGCCCTCCAAGACTGAAGACCCCCATCCATCCCCCAGATCTCTAGTATCAGCCATTGATACAGATAATGGCTCCAAAGAGCCTCCACTTACGGGCTCACCATAGCCCATGCTACTCAGAACTTTATGTTCTGAGTAGCTGAATCTATAGCAACAACAAAAACAATTGGAACATTAAACATCGTGTTGAAGTCTCCAACTAATTGCCACATCGTACAAATATTTTTACATATATATAATTTTCGAAACGAGCTATAACATCACCCAGGCGATTTATTTCAAGCTCCCTCACTCATGATCTCTTGTACACCTCATTAATTCCCTTAAAAACAAACACACACACACACACACACACACCGCACTGAGACATTAATACATCTATACCCTATTTAAGT